CCACTGTCCGATTGTCAGACATGCATCAAGACTGAACATTCCGATCAACGACTTCCATATCGGCCATATCGGACAACTATATCCTATAGCTCCCATTGGAACGTTTGGGTCAAATTTAAAGAACATTGTTATTTTCGTTGTTAAACATTTTTATTTTATTTTAATAACAATAAAATTAATATTTTGAGGAAACGGGGCGTGGTTTCTTCTCAGTACGCCCACATAAAGTTAATAATTTGTTTAATTATATTAATATGTATAAAAAAACAAAAACAAAAAAACTTAAATAATAATAATTACATGTTATTATATATTTATGTCATCTAATAGATCAATTGCACATTAACAATGGTAGTTTTCTTTGGCCAGAAAGAAATGGATCTGAGCTTAGAATCAGTCTATTTATTAAATCCGTATTTGTTGCAATGCGCGAGATCTTTCGAGTGTGCTGCCTTCTGAACATTTTAATGTCCTTATTTTTTGACTCTGCAGCTTCTTCAGATAACTCCCCGATTGGCAAAAGTGCATAATTTATAACATCCGGAGAATGAACCAAAACTTTGTGTAGTGAAGGTGGTAGATAGTACCAGGGATATAAATTTATAAGCTCTTTAGCAGTGTCAAGTGCAAATTCGCCAAATTTGTTTACATTAATCTTGTAACCAGATGCCATACATTGCAGCAATGTTACACGACGGGTTATAACATTTTCATTAATTCCTGTTATTTCGGCTGCCATCTTCGGGTTATTGAAAAATACTCTGGCCGTATTGCCATCATTTGAAGTGCCACTTCCTCCACTTCTGGGTTTGTCCACTAAAAGACCCATTTTTATACGAAAATCTTTTTGTATTTTGGATTTCCTGTGCGACAGGACTTCTTTGCCCTCTATGGTACTAATTCGCCAACTTTTTATGTCTAGTCTGTATGAGACATGCAAAAAATATTCAAAAAATCGAATATATGAATGTAGTGGCGATAATCCAAACTCAAAACGTGCTTCATGAACCTTCTTTGTCAAGCACTTTTCCAAATTGTTCATCTCTGTCGGTTTCGCTTCACATATATAGCACTTAGAAGATGATGTGTTACTAAGAGAACTACAGATTTTGCCATCCACCATAGTTAACTGCAAACAGTCATAAAAATTATGAGACAAACAACAGGGCTGCTTGCCAAGGCTATTTTCAAGCTAATGAAGTGGTGCTCCAGCTCCAGTGGTTCTTAAAGAAGTTCCGGAAGAGGATAAGGAAACTCTAGTCAAGTTTGATGATGGCAGTAACATCACAAAAACTCTAGGACTGTCGTGGGATCCTGCAACGGACTTCTTCATGTTCACCTTTTTGCCAACATTGTCGGCTATTGCCAGATTTTATGATCCGCTTGGTCTTATTGGACTTAAATACCCCTGCAGGCGCTTTGGAGAGAAAAACTCGATTGGGATGAAAGTCTTTCAGCATCATTGACTACATCTTGGCATAATCTTATTGCAGATTTTGAGCTCACAAAGCAGCTGAAATTTCCAAGGCTTGCACTTTCTCCTGGTGGATCCATTGAAGTGCATGGTTTTAGTGACGCCAGCATAGATGCCTATGGAGCTTGTGCCTACATCGTTTCGACAACGCAAAGGCAATCTCGTGCAGAGCTGCTGTGTTCCAGATCTCGTGTGGCACCACTCAAATCGTTGACAGTGCCACGACTAGAGTTGTGCGGAGCCGTTCTGCTGCCACAACTCATAAACGAAATATCTCGCCTGGAGCTATTCGACTGCAAATTGTATTGTTGGTCTGATTCTGCCGTAGCACTATCTTGGATACGCAGCGAGCCATCCAGGTTTCATATTTTTGTTTCCAATCGCATCGCAACTATTCAAGATTTGACCGCTGGCATGGAATGACGATATACTTGTATTCCAACCGATTTGAATCCGGCGGACATACTTTCACGTGGAGCTTTACCCAGCGAATTAGTCCAGTCGAACTTATGGCTCCATGGTCCCGCATTTCTGACGAAAGGCAAATCCTCGTGGCCACAATCCTGCAATACCGTCTCGTCGCTGCCTGAGCAGTGCTCCAAAGTGCTTGTAAGCACCAGACTGTGCGAAAACATTGCACAGCAATGCAAATATGTCAACCCATTTGGAAAACTGCAGCGCGTTTATACAAGTTCCTGCATCGTGTTCGAATTCCTGGGCTATCGGTGGACTGCATCCGTCATGGAACACTGCTGTTAATGCGCTCAATTCAAATGTCCTCTCTTTGGGACGAATACAAGGCCTTGCAGGCCGGGCACGCTTCAAAATCGTCAAGTTCCTGTATTTCCCTATCACCGTTTCTTGACAGCTTTGGATCGATGCGCGTTGGTGGCCGGTTAAGCAATTCTGCGCTCAACTTCAATTCCCAGCATCCAATTATACTTCCAAGACGGCATCCAGTCACGCGTTCGGTTATTATGCACTACCATGTCCGTAACTTGCATTCTGGACCTCGTGCATTGCTGGCCTCAATTCGGCTGCAGTATTGGCCAATTGGAGGTCGAAAAATAGTCTGCAGCGTAGTCAACAAATGCACTATTTGTTTCCGAGCCAAGCCTCGTCTTGTGGAGCATGTTATGGCTGACCTGCCAAAGGATCGAGTTGGATTTTTGTGGGCCGTTTTACTATAAAAGTGAGATCCGAAATAAGGCATCAATAAAATGCTATATTTGCATTTTCATATGCTTCGCCACTAAAGCTGTACATTTGGAGCTGGTGAAAAATTTAACAACCGGAGCTTTTCTAAATGCATTACAACGGTTTATTTTGACGCGCTGTCGACCTACGAGGATCTGGTCTGACAACGCTACAAATTTCGTTGGTGCACGGAACGAGATGGCTGAGCTGAAGCGTCTTTTTGAATACAGCGACCACCTGCGTGCTGTGCAAGAATTTTGTCTTGCTGACTGTATTGATTGGCGTTTCATTCCGCCACGCTCACCTCACTTTGGTGGTCTATGGGAGGCGGCTGTGAAGACTGCAAAACATCACTTTTACGGATCCGTTGGACCATCGCGGCTCGAATTCGATGAGCTGCGCACGCTCATGTGCCATATCGGGGCAATCATTAATTCTCGCCCATTGTTATCCCTTTCAGAGCATCCAGCAGATCTTGATGTCTAGACTCCGGATCATTTCCTTGGTGCTGCTCCACTGTCAACCTACATTGCGCCAGATCTGACGAAGCTCAAATTTAATCGGCTGGATCGGTGGCAACGTGTGACGTATTACCAGCAGATATTCTGGGCTCGCTGGCGTGAAGTATATTTAACGCTTCTTCAACAGCGCTCCAAATGGCGAATGTCACAGCCTGGACTTTCCATCGACGATGTCATTTGGTCAAGGACGAGAATTTGCCATTAGCACAAGTGGTCAGCCTCATCAAGGGCGCAGATGGCGTTGCGAGGGTTGCAGAATTGAAGACTGCCACTGGAACCATTCGACGAGCCGTTCGCAAACTATGCCCGCTGCCGAAGCAGGACGTTGTTGAAGACCCTGGTTCTCCAACGAGGGTAGTATGTTTGGTCATGCAGCCGCCACATAGTTTTTAGTTATTCTCGCTAACTCTGAAAACTCTGTTTGTTTTCGCTATCGCATCTGGTACGGAGAAGCCTAGCTTTCCGTCTATCAGCCTAAACTTATAAATCGCATAAAAGCATAAAAATCGTATGCGGCGATCGCTACCTACAGCCAAATAAACATTGGGAACTCTTTTTAAATTGAACAATTTCGTTTTGCTTATTCTTGCAATATTTTCGCCAACATCATTTCGCATATTTTGAATCATAAAAAAGCTTATGATTATACACATACCCTGGTGTCCATTTGGATAGACCGGCGTAAACACATTGAAGCGAAGAAAAATCAACTGAAATTAAAAGCTTATTGTAAAGGCATATCACTTAGTTTTAAATAGTCATAGAGAATTATAATTGAAATTAACGCATTAGTCTTAAGAGAAAAATTGTTGTACACTGCAGCTGTCTGCGAGCAGCATAATTGCAATGCCACTCTCTTGTTTGTCCCTACCTCGGCGGCCTTTTTCATGTAGCGCGCTACAATTAAACACTTGCAATATTGAATTCGAACTGTGCGAACACATTCTTTAAGCCAATAAATCACGTAGAAAAACACAAGTCTTTCTTTGTACGTACATAATTTGTGAACCTTTCGTTTTTGCCATACCGGCAAGTTACCGGCTTAAAGCCGTACACTTATAATATACATTAGCTTATAAACGTCCGTTCACCATTGAAACTGGAGTAAAAAGTACTCTTGTACAATGCAGTTCACAAACCAATTTGGACAAACATACATACATATGTACATATGGCACCGAGTTATGGGGAGCCATACCCGACTGCGGAGAAGAAACATCCCCACCCAGCCCAATTAAATAAATATACATATGTATTAGATTAAGATTTGCGTACTTATTAGTCCCTAAAAGAGATGACTGGATAAAAAAAACAACAGTAAAAAATTTTTTTCTGGTAGACACAACTTTCTTGCCATGACCAGATTTGACTAATTGACTCCTCCAGACGGCCGAATTATTATGCTATGTTAATTATGTTAGGTAAATTACAGCGATGTGTCACTGCATACAGCAATAGTAATTGGTTAACAATTTTGCGTTATGTGAAAAGCGATAATAATTAATGTAGGATTACGTGGAACACCTATTATAAAAAATGCGTTTTAATTCCGCAAGGATCTTTTTTGTGACGAAAATTCTTTGCAAAAAATCATTTTAAGTATTGTGGTCCTTCTACATTAGGCCTGCCCCTTTTAAAAATTTGTCACAGTTGATACTTGTGATAAATCACATTTAATTTTTGCTGATCTTATTTAGGAATGCACTTCTCTACAAAAATTTATATCGCCGATTTTTTGACTTATCGATACAGATAAACAATTGCTTTGTGCACGTGTTTTGTGTTTACATATATGTTAAAGGATATACGCAAAAAACTATATTGAAATGGAAAACGTAACATTAAAAAATAAATCTGGAAGGGTTTTTTATAAAAGTCGCAGTCTACTGAATGTGGACTTATTGCTTTCCAAGGTATCAACCCGTGCTGTTGGTCTACGTGTTATTATTACCTTTATTGGTCAGTGTTCTACTAATCTACTGGATAAAAAATGCATTGTTTGGACTTCTCTAATACTAAAAGCTTGTAACAAAAAAGAAATATTTCTATACGGTGATATGATTTATAATGCATTGGGTGAGTTTGTAACCTCGCAAGTATATTTGTTTTTTTGTTTTGGTTTTAAGTTACCACGATGCCCTTGGGTATTGTGGAATTATTTGGCCGCCCACTTATTGGTAAAGTGGAAATTGCCACGCTTGGAAATTGTGGTGCGTTGCTTCAACTTATAGTTTCACTTTTATTTCATTAATGAAGTTTATTAGCGAATTATATTCATGAACGGGTTCTTCCTTAAAGAAAGTGTGCACATTGTTGTATCTGGCTAGCGATGGGAATCGTTGACGATTTGTGTTATGTTTTGGGCATTCAAAAATAATGTGTGATGCGTTGTCGGGAACTCCGCAGCTGTTACATGAGTTATCGTCGATAACATGCATTTTAGCGAGTGTTTCATTGTCGAAAGAGTAACCGCTAAGCAGTCTGTTAACTAATTTTACACTATTTGCTTTCAACTTGCAGTTCTTGTCCTGAAACCATGGTTTACTAAGAGTAGTCGGAAACAGCGTGCAGTAGCCTCGTTCCTTCTCAGCAACGAAACTAGCGAACTCCTGTTCCCAGTCATTGTGTATTGATCTGTACATTGTACGCACAGCGTCTTTTAGACTCTATTTTATTACCATGAAGGTGCCCTCTTTGCCGCCATGTCCACTGCGCTGTTTTGAGGAATACCCACGTGTCCCGGTATGTAGTGGATCTCCAGTGCCAAAATCCTGGAACAATTGTTAATTTTCTTTTTAATGTTGTTGGCTATGGAAATGTTTGGAGATTGCTTTATTAGGGTTTGTACGCTGCCACGGCTGTCTGTTAAGATTGCCACCCTGGGAATGCTCAGAAGGATGGCATGGTCAACCGCCTTCTCTATTGCAATCAGATCTGAAGAGAGAGATGAGAGAATTTTATCAGTGAAAAAGCTGTCCACATGCCCTGACTCCTCGTGTAGGAAGGCCGAACTGGAATGACTCGCGGAGACGGAACCGTCAGTAAAGAACAGTTTAAATCCTCTGCTTCTCAGACTTGAGGCTTTCTCGTTGAAAATCAGATGCATGCTTGATTGATCGATGGAGTGTTTGTTCCTCGCTGCGCCCTTCAGAAAATCGGTGTCTCCTTTAATTTTGTGGCAAATGAGAGGGAGCGGATTGACTACTTGAATGTGGTCAAAAATGGTGGCAAACTGTCTAGGAGGATATACCTCGCGTAACTGGTATTTACCGTACTGGCGCATGACAGCGTTTCGCATATTGGCAGGTTGAAGGCAAACGCCTTGGCCAGCTCTTTGGCTGTAAGAAATTTATACCTAAATTCGGGAGGCATCTCAGCTGCTAAGTGATATATAATAGGAACGGGCGTGCATTTTATTAGTCCTAGAGCCTTCCTGAGGTGCATATTAGTATGCCTTTGGACCTTGGCTAGGGCAGACTTGGATAAGTTGCTGAAAGAAGAGCACGAGTATTCCAGTCTGCTTCTAATAAAAGCCTTGGGCAATAGAACTCCCTGCTTAGGGCTGACGCCAAATTGGCAGCCACTGAAAAGCTTAAGGAAGGCACTGTTGGCATCCGAAATGGCCTGGTCTATGTGGGCGCCAGCCGAGTTATTTGCAGAGATGGTTCTGCCTAAGTATCTAATTTGTTCTACTTCCTTAATAAGGGTGCCTTGGTGTGACAAATTGAGTTGACTTCTGCGAGCGCTGAAATGTATTACTTTTGATTTGACTGCGTTAAAGGACAAATTGAGCCCACTACATTCCCTCTCAAATTTTTCCACTCTGTCCTTTAGAGTTAATACGGTGGAAGCAAATCAGGAAGAAGTCGTCGGTATATTGAAAGAGCAGGCAATTAGAGTTGTTAATGTTGTGCAATTTGGCTGTATACAAGTATATTTGTTTAAATATAAATAAACATGATTTTTCTTAAAGTTGTATTTGTGAATGTTTCCAACATTTCCTAGATCATGTGTAAAAATACGTCTTGTGTGTATATACATATGTACAAGTACTAGGTGGGGTGAAAAGTAACCTCCTTGGGAATGAAAAAAAATTTTTTTTTAATTTTTTTTTTTAGTTTATTCAATATAGACTCTTTTTAGGGCTATACACTTAATCCAGCGATTTTCCAATTTTTTTATCCCATCGGAAATGTAGTTTTCCGGAAGGTCTGCAAAATACCCCTCTGTAGCGTCAATGATCTCTTCGCGCGAGCTGAATTTTTTATTTATCAGCCATCTTTTGAGATTTGGGAATAGATAGTAATCAGAGGGAGCCAAATCGGGTGAATAAGGTGCATGAGGAACCACTTGGAGTCCTAAATCGGTTATTTTTGCCATGGTTGCTATGCTTTTGTGTGTCGGTGCATTGTCTTGCAAAAATACAATTTTTTTACGCATCATGTGAGGCCGTTTCGCAGCGATTTTGGCCTTTAATCGCTCCAATAATGAGCAGTAATACTCGCTGTTTATTGTTTTCCCTTTTTCGAGATAGTCCACGAAAATTATGCCACGACAATCCCAGAAAACTGACGCCATGATCTTTCCGATCCATTGAGCCTCCTTCGGCCGCTTCGGAACACTCGTGCCGGCTTCAGTCCATTGCCGGGCACTCATTCTGCTTTCTGGTGCATAGTAATGGATAAAGGTTTCATCAACTGTCACCAATCGACTCCAAAAGTCCACCCGATTCCGCTCCAGCATCACCAAACACTCTTTCGAAGTGTGCTCACGTTCATACTTTTGGTCTGAAGTCAGCTTGCGCGGCACCCAACGGCAGGATAGCTTTTTTATATGCAGAACCTCTCCCAAAAAATGGCGGGTTCACTCAGTGCCACAAGGGTGGCCTCTGCTAGCTCACGCACTTTAACTTTCCGGTCAGCCAACACCATTTCATGTATTTTTTGGACATTTTCCTGAGTAACCGCATCGGAGGGCCTGCTACTAGGCACTTCATCAGTAGTGCAGTTTCGGCCACCACGAAACTCTCGAAACCAATATTTTACAGTATAGTCTGAAGGAGCATAAGCCCCATAATATTTGTCCAACTTTTCTTTCGTTTCCTTTGCTGTTTTCTGTCTCAAAAAATAATGCTTTATCAGAGAACGAAAATCGTTTTTTTCCATGGTCGCCATTTTGCCAAAAGCATCAAAAATTATCAGCTGTAAACAAAAAACTAAGGGCTCCATCGAGCTGAATTTTACTAGAGATACCTAAATATGAATGGACTATAAGGCCCCATAATCATTTTATCGATAGTAGCGCATTTTGGTGGTCAAGGAGGTTACTTTTCACCCCACCTAGTATGTATATGATTTTACCGTGGAATATTATTATTATTATTTCCTAGTGCAACAAGAAATAAATTCTTATAAATTAATGCACTAGTCACTAGAAACATACAATTTTCATTAAACAAATTTAAGACGGTTTGATTAACCTGCTTAACCTATTTTATAAAATTGAAGTTAAATCTAATAGACTATATTATGTTGCTCTGTTGGAATATAAATACATACATATGAACGTTGGAGCACTATTGCTAAATTGTGCTTAAGTTCCACGCAGGGTTGCGACACTATGTACATACATACATATGTATGTATGTAAGTACATTCGTTATCAGCATGACAAAACGCGTCGATATAGCGATGTACGTCGGACTGTCTGTATGAAAAAGGATCTCAGAAAGTAGAAGAGCTAGAAAACAAAACTGGATATCCATATCCAGTTCAAGAAAGATGTTTGTGTTATTTTTATACCCTGTACCCAAAGGGTGAAAGAGTATAGTAGTTTTGTGGGAATGTATGTAACACACAGAGAAGGCGTGCCTTTAAGTATATACAGCGAAACCTCTCTTGGCCGGACACCCACCGTCGGCCAACTTTTGTCCGGCCAAGGGAAGTCCGCTTAGAGGATATGTATATGATAGCGATAAATAAAGGCCAGTAATTTCTAGAAATAAAAGCTGTACAATTTGGCAAAGTTATTTGGTCATCTTATGCAACTGCACAACATTTAAATGAGCATACGCACATATGTATATGCATATGTACTAATAATTATTTCTTCTACTCTTTAATGAAAAGTTACAAAAATACAACGCAGTTTATTCTGTATTCTTTCTCAGAGTAAATACATAAATCAAGTTTAAAGTTAATCGGATTTCTAATTTTCTAAAACCACTTCTTGGTGCTCACCTACACTTTAACAGCTTTTTAACGCTTCCCATTTGGGATATGCATTGATTGCACATACCTACATACCCATATACATGCATACATATGTACATTTTATTTTTTGATGCAGGGGCTATCTATCCTCATATGAATGTACATACATATCTATATGTACATACAACTATATGTAAGTGTATGCATTCAATTGTACAGTTCAACACTTATCCATATGTGTTTGTGAATATGAATATTGTGAGTGTAAAATATTCGTAAAATTCGTAAAATATTAATTTAATTTATGCAAATGTGGTTAACATCAACCTTGTTAATTTTTGGCTATGCGCTCCAAATCCCTAGCTTTTTTCAACAATAAAATACATGTATGTACAGGATGCGCCATCTTTTATGTCGGCATGTAAACATTGAATATCTTTGAAAATAAACAACCGCTTTTCAAGTATGAGATATTTTTATTTCATTAGGTTCTGTATAATTTCTTGAACTGAGGTTTTCAACACTGGTCTACTCAAGTCAATCGGTTCACTAATGACAAAGTTATTCAATATTTACATACTGACATAAAAGATGGCGCACCCTGTACATAACACAATGTTTTAAGATAGACTTTGTGAAAAAACTAGAGTATTAGAGTATTTTCTAACTTTAAATTATATAACGGTCGTGTTTTTTTTATTTTTATACCCTGTACCCAAAGGGTACAAGGGTATATTAGTTTTGTGCGAGTGCACATGGAACACACAGAAGGAGGCTTGGTAGACCCCACAAAGTATATATATTCTTGATCAGCATGACAAGCCGAGTCGATATAGCCATGTCCGTCTGTCCGTCTGTCTGTCT